ATATATATATAGAGATATATATATATAGAGATATAGATAGATAGATAGATAGATAGATAGATAGAGAGAGAGAGAGAGAGAGAGAGATAAAAAAACACTTTAATACCTGAACACTGTTAGGAAAATCAATGACAAATTGGTCAAAATATTTATGTTCCTTCCTCGGTTCTTTAAGATTCCATCGGATAAAGGTGACTTTTTCCGTTTATTGCCACAAGGAATAAAATAAGAGAATTCCTAATAAATATAAATGAAATATTTTATAAAGGCAAAGGAAATCTTTTACAAAACAACAGACCTTTATAAATCTGACCTTAATATCATTCCTAAAAAATGTCACTTTATTTAAAAGAGAAATCAATTTAGTGAGAAAAAAGGTTATAGAAAGTGATTTAATCGCTCGATCCTCCACAGTAAATTTACGTTTAGTTTCTAATAGCATTTCAGTTTTTCTGGAAGATCTTCTATTTTTACAATGTGGAATATTTTAATATATATATATATATATATATATATATATATATATATATATATATATGAAACGAGGTTGGATTGATTACATGGTGCAATGGATAAATTGTCGTCTCAATTACGCAAAAAAAAACACATCTCATTTTAACAGAGCTACGGGGTGCGATGGATAAATTGTCGTCTAAATGACACAAAAATGAAAATAACACGTGACATCTCATTTTGACAGATATGTTTACCAAAATTACACAAACATATATTGAAATACTAAATAGTAAATTTATTCTATACGATCGCCATTGGCTTCAATCGCTGCCTCCAGACGACTTCGAAATCTCCTGCAACTCTTCTTGGATTTGTTTAATTATTAAATACTGCCATAATCATTGCCTTCAGTTCATCTTTGCTGTTAGAAGGAGTTTTGTTGGTATCTCACTCAAATGCATCTCACATATAACAACCAAGTGTGTTGCAGTCTGGGGAGTTATGTAGGTAGATTTAAGAGTTATGGTCGTAAAAGTTTTCTGACAGGGTTCTCTTGCTTGGGTGGCATGGTGCAGAGTCCTGTTACCAGAAATATGGTATTCCTGCAGTCACTCTCTTGACCAAGGGCAGCAATGCCTTTTCAATGCACTTGATGTAGACCTTTGTGTCGAGTCTGAGACTCTCAGCAGTAAATTCGAGAGTTGTTTTCTTATCAAAACGATCAGACTGAGTTTTCCGAGTTGCCCTACCTTCGTAATCACCATTAAACTCAACGAACTCTTTCCAAATACACTGCAATTGACACTCAGATTGACACCCAAACACTATTAAATTGCGTCATGATGCCCATTAACTCACAGACAGTGATCGTCTAACTCGACTATGCTGTGCAGTCGGCAAAATCAAGAACAAACAATGGGCATGCGCGAAATTTAAAATGGCGACAATCAGTGTCATCACTCATTTGTCCGCATCACTTTATTTCGTTAAAGTTCGTACAGACGAAGTGACTCACACGAAATTTTCTCCACTGATTCATTGATTTTCCTATATATATATATATATATATACACTTACACGCACCATACTCACTCACTCCCTAATGAGCCAAATGATAACACACACCCACAGCAATACACACGCTTACACATATCATACTCACTCACTCCCTAAGAACCAAATAACACACACACAAACACTAAACAGAGACACATTCCCTCTCCAGGTCCAATAAAACTGTCAAACTGACCAGAGAATTCAGAGCACACATGTATCTATCCAGCTCTTATCTCAAATAACAACTTAAAAGAGACTGTTTGACCAACACAAGGAATGTTAAAAGATTCATGTTAAAAATAAAAAAAAATAAAAAAAACAAATTAAAACTACAGACAAAAGTTAATTTTCTCCATCAAGACATTCATTTCTGTAGTTTACTGCTACCAGAAAGCAGAAATATTTCTTCTCCTGATGATGGCCATTTTGTTCGAAACTTGTCGTGGAATCTAAATGAAATACCCCCCCCAAAAAAAAAGCAAAAAACGAAAGAATATTAATCTTCAACCCAGTGTGTCTGAAGTTTTTAATTTTTTAATATTTTTTTATTGTTCAATATATAAATATATATATATATATATATATATATATATATGATAAATGTTCGAGAATATAGTTTAAAGCTTAGCTATATTTATGGGCAAAGTTGCTCAATAACTGCGACAGTATATAAATATAAAAGCAAACTCTATTTAGTAGATAAAAAATATCTATTTGCTTAATAACCATACAAGTTTCAGTGGTTCTGAATCAAATATCATATGTGCGTAGATTTAAAAAAAAAAATCCTGCCCAAATACACGCAATTCTAATTAAATAGAATGACTAATCTCAATACAAAAAATAATTACAAAATTCTTAGATGGAGCAAAACGAAATGAAGGACTACAACAGAATATCGAACGAAACACACTAAATATATTTAATTAAAAAAGGTAGCGAAGACAGGATCTAAAATTAAAAAAAATTACTATTTTGTTACCTGAACGTCAGCACTGAATAAAGAATAAGTCTACAGTTGATTATGTTTGATTTTTATTTCTTCTACTGGAAGCTAAATTTAATTCACAGATATTAATTAAAGAGAGATTAATTACGCGAATAATCCATGAAAAATACCAACTTTTCTTTCCTCATTAATTGTCTCTGATGTTAAGTATACGTGTTTTTTTTTGTTTCCATTTTATTTAAAATTTCATCATTAGTCACATGTTCTGTTTATGTTATTCTTAACATCATCCTGCAGTTGTTTGCTAATTTCTTTCTATGTCCCTTATTATTTTGTTGAGTTCAGGTTACCTGTTTTCGCTATTGTAATTTTCTGTTCAATTATTAAACAAAGGAACATTCTGTCGAGAAAGTTACATGTTAGAGAAATCAAAACCAGGCGAGTACAACAATTTCAATATCTGAAAATTGTTTTAACAGTGGACGAAAAGTGACACTAAATCCGAAGGCGCCTTGGAATAACGAAAGATGTCTTCCAAAAGCTAAGCAAAGTATTAAGAAACAGGACAATTTCGTTCGAAACAAAGAAAACAGTACAGAAATGTTACGGAATGGCAGTCCTTGTGTATGCCAGTGAATGATAGACCATTTCATCAAAGAGGAGGAGACTTGAAGCAACAGAAAAATGGTCCTACAGATCAAATGACGACGTTTTAGTGAAAATGGAAACAAAAAAGACACATTTACTTAGAAAGAGACAATTTAAATTTCTAGAACATGTAATGAGGTAAGAGAACTCGATATAATTTGACACTCACAGCACATATTGACGTCAAGAGGGAGAGAAGACAACAGTGCATAAGCAAACCAACGAGCCTGTGTAAATGGACGGTAGAAGAGGAGTTCGGAAAATAAAAGACAATACACGAAACGCGATAAAAAGCAATACAGGAAATGCAATAAAAAACAATACAGGAAATGCAATAAAAAACATTTCACGAAACGCGATAAAATACAATACACGAAACGCAATAAAAAACATTACGCGAAACGCGATAAAAGACAATACACGAAACGCGATAAAAGACCATACGGGAAATAAAAGACAATACACGAAACGCGATAAAATACAATACACGAAACGCGATAAAAAACATTACGCGAAACGCGATAAAAGACAATACACGAAACGCGATAAAAGACTATACGCGAAATAAAAGACAATACACGAAACGCGATAAAATACAATACATGAAACGCGATAAAAGACAATACGCGAAACGCGATAAAATACAATACACGAAACGCGATAAAAGACATTACGCGAAACGCGATAAAAGACAATACGCGAAATAAAAGACAATGCACGAAACGCGATAAAAGACGATACACCAAATGGGATATGAAAAATGTTAAAGTGACGGCATAACAAATAAGAAACAATGAAAATATCTAACTTTAGACAAAAGTGCTTACATATGAGAAAATATATTTACAACTAGGAACCGGAAATAAAAAAAAATTAGAATTATCGAAAAGAAAATCAACGAGGAAATTTCGTTGATTTTTAATGAAACGTGCGCATGCGCATATATATGTACGTATGCAAAAAGACAGTGACTCTACCGCACATCACCCAAAGTCAGCAGAACTTTTTAAAATTGTCGAGTGTGTGAGTGAGTGCAATCTCCTTGGTTCCCGCAGAATTGATTCTTGGGTAGTGGCACTTGAGCCACGGCAAAACATGAAGCCTTTGAAACTTATCGTAGACATCAACACCAACCTTCTATAGAAGCACATTTCTGATGCCTCGTTATTTAAGAGGAAATTGACCAGACAATACAAGCAAAAGGAACGTGGAGAGAGCCATGGTCGCCTGTCTGTGACAGTCAAATTATCCTAAACGAACAAAAGAAAAAAAAACTTACGTGAAGTAATTTCGATTCTGGTGAAAATATCGAAATTATACCACACACACACACACACACACACACACACAGCAACACGAATACAGAGACAAATAAAATTTGGTTGGCAGTAAAATAAAGCTTAAGAAATCTTTTGCTCATTAACAAGTTCTCAGTGTTTAGCAAGCAACTGAGATAGATAGACAAATAGATAGATATGAACATACAGAGATAGAGACATATGTATGAAGACACTGAGATAGATAATAAACAGAGATAGATAGATAGATAGATAATGAACAAACTGACATAGATAGATAGATAGATGGATAGATAATGGACAAATTGACAGAGATAGATTGATAGATAGATAAGGAACAGACTGATAGGTATGTATGTATCTATCTCAATCTGTTGATAGATAGGTAATGAACAAACTGACTGTTGTGGTAGGATCCACCTAATTTGCATAGTGGAGTACCGACCATATAAATATGGTTGGTACCGGGAAGAGAGGGAGGAATCAAGAGAGTCAATGCAGAGACTCTGCCCGACAGCGACTAAGTCAACACATTCTCCAGCAACGGTCTTCCCAGGAATATACAAAAGACTATATGTAAATATTGTGTACACTTTCTTGTTTCAATACATTTTGTTCTAAGTACATTTTGTGTTGTATTATTATTCCATGCATTAGTCAAGTTTCAACACTGACATAGATAGATATATAGATAGATAGATAGATAATGAACAGAGATAGATAGATAGATGATGAACAGACTCAGATAGATAGATAGATAGATAGATAGATAGATGGATGGATAGATAGATTCAGTGTTAATTCCTTTAGATCTGACACCAAAAGCTGTGGCAGATCATTCTTTGCGAATATTCAATTTGGTATTGTCTGTCTTGAAATCAACATTCGTTCTTATCTCGCCTTGAAACCGGAATTCATTTCCACTGCACATTTCAAGCCATTTAATCGAAACTCTTTTAAATAATAATTAAAATTCGTTTCTCAAGATTTTGCCCTAAATTTTCTCCCGATTCATCTTCTCCACCATTTTTCTCTTTTGCAAATATCTTCACCCACCCGACGCCATTATATCTTCCATAAACACGTTTTTGATTCCTCGGTCGAGATCAGCCAAACTCAAACTTTTTCCTGCCAACACAAGCAAGATAAGAATTCACAACGTAATACCCATTGCTTGTGCCAACTCTCCCCAACTTCTCCTTGCTTTTGTTCATGACATTAAAATTCCTGCTTGGCTAATAATGAAACGAGAATTTCGCGTATTTCGCCATACACGGTACTGGCAGAGAGGTCTTCACCCACCTTGTCTTGAACAGATGGAAGGAATCCTTTCAAAAGGCCGCAAGAGGAAAAATCAAGGTGCTTAATGAAGCAGGTAGCAAGTACAAGACGGAAATTCTTTGTTATTGCATTGACATTCCTCGAGTTTCCTGGGAGAAGAAAATTCTGAAGACTTTTCATTCTTTGTTTCCTTTCTTTTATGCACATATTGGCTGAAATCAATCAATCGCTAATTCACGCATTTATCTGCTTTGAAATCATTGCTTTACAAAGGAATCTGTTAGATAGATAGATAGATAGATAGATAGATAGATAGATAGATCGATCGATAGATAGATAGATAGATAATGAACAGACTTAGATAGATAGAAAAATAGCTAGCTAAATAAATAATGAACAGTATGTGAAATATGAAAAATGAAATATCAAATATAGATAGATAGATAGATAGATAGATAGATAGATAGATAGATAGATAATGAGCAGACTTAGATAAATAGACAAATAGCTAACTGGATAGATAGATAATGAACAGTATGCCAAATATGAATAGACCATGATAGATAGATAGATAGATAGATAGATAGATAGATAATGAACAGACTGCGATAGATAGATAGATAAATAGATAGATAGATATATAGATAATGAACAGTATTTGAAACATGAATAGACCGTGAAAGATAGATAGATAGATAGATAATGAACAGACTGCGATATATAGATAAATAGATAGATAGATAATGGACAGACTGCGATAGATAGATAGATAGATAGATAGATAGATAGATAGATAGATAATGAACAGTATTTGAAACAGAATAACCATGAAAGATAGATAGATAGATAGATAGATAGATAGATAGATAATGAACAGACTGCGATATATAGATAAATAGATAGATAGATAATGGACAGACTGCGATAGATAGATAGATAGATAGATAGATAGATAGATAGATAGATAGATAATGAACAGTATTTGAAACATGAATAGACCGTGAAAGATAGATAGATAGATAGATAGATAGATAGATAGATAATGAACAGACTGTGAAACATGAATAGATCGTGAAAGATAGATAGATAGATAGATAGATAGATAGATAGATAGATAGATAGATAATGAACAGATACATGGCTACCTCATAGTCTAGTATGATCATCACGTTATACTATTTTCAGACATATCTGTGCTTTGAATGGATATGGCACTTTAAATTGGACAAACACTGAAAAGCTCCGGTACAATGTTAGCACACATAAGACACATGCATTTTGGTGTCATTAAATTTATTTTCGTCACTGATTGCAGACCTTTCCTGCCAATCAGCTGACTTGCAAACCTTTCTGCAAATGTGACATGAATTCTTAATACTTAATGACATTTTCTAGTTTGCCTGGGTTTTGGTATTATATCTAAGCATATAACATTAAGAATCTTCGAATGCATCTTTTCTATCATATCGAACCTCTATTTTTTAGAAATGACCCCCAAAAGGATGCTTTCCCGCTTCAACTCTGGGGTTAATCGTTATTTTTCCCATATATCTTCATGAACTGCGCCTCTTAATATTGGCGCTCACACAACACCCTCCTTCACTAACCCTCTGCCTTCAGTGACTCTTGAGCCTTGTATTGGTTGTTATATAGAATGAATCCACCAATTTATATCCACATTATAATTTCTTGTTTGCTGATAAGCCGTAGAAATCGAATCAATCAATCAATGAAATACTGATAAGCTCCACAGGCATGTCTTTATTTACATTCTCTGGAATAGAAATGGATAGAAATTATTCTGGCCACAAAGTGGGGGATCAGTTTATGTATTCGCTGTAATATAGAATGGATCCCCCAATTTATATCCACATTGTAATTTCTTGTTTGTCTATCAATTTCTGATAAGGTATGAATCTATCTCTTCTCCCTAGCTATGGGTCAATTAGTAGAACTTGTATCACAAAACAACTTTATTATCTATAAAAAAAATGCGTACAAAATATTTAGATTTCGGCATTAAATAAGCCATAGAGGTTGACATGCCGCTAAAAAAATAACAAATCACCTGAGACAGGTACCTTGGGGTTCATCACTGCCAATTGGTAAAACGGGTACCTGGACACCAAACCAGGTACTTCTAAGTATCCACGTATACATACATACATACATACATGCATACATACATGCATGCATGCATACTTACATACATACATAGATACATACATATATAGATACATGCATGCATACATAGATATATGCATACATACATGCATGCATCATCATCTCATCTTCTTCATCTTGCGGCCTCAGCCGAGATTGAACTCACCAATACTTGATTGGTGTAGTTCATAATCTTGTCAAATAGCTGAATTCTTGATGCTTCGCTAGGGCTATCAAGGGTGTTTTTTATCGTGACACCATCACTAAATGCATTGCCAACCAAGGCTCAGAGAGACTCTAGTCACCCTCCTCTAAGAGCAGGTTTGAATTCAGAGTTTTCCTTCTCCTAGACCAGTTGCCATCCAAGGCTATAGAACCCAATCTGTCCTGCTATTTACCCATAGCTGGAGGGAGAAGAGAGAGGATTCACACCTTTCCCAAGGGTGTTAGCACGTAAGTGAATGTAATGGATTCGACTGGAATTCGAACTCGGCTTTCCTCAATCCAAGCCGCTATCCATTACTCCACCATGTCTCCCTACACCGTGCCACCGTGCATGCATACATAAATACATAAATACATACATACATACATACATTGGTACATGCATAAATACATACATACATACATACATACATGCACACATACATATATATATATATAGATACATACTTACACATAGACATGCATACATAGATAGATACATGCATACATACATACATGCATACATACATTCATAGATACATGCATGCATACATACATACTAAAATGCATACATGCATACGTACATAGATACATACATAGATACATGCATACATGCAAGATGTTATTGGAAATGAACTTAACATGAATTGTCTGGCAGATTATACAAATGATTTGAATCGTACGAGAGCTGATTATTTGTCCGCCAATTCACAGATTATTAACACTGTATACAAGCCGAGTATTGTCCTCATCTTTGTTGTTGCTATCACCTCGTTTAAGCCGGACTTCAGCAGGTGTATGTCAATCCGGGTAACCCATAAGGAATAAGAACTAGATGAGATATCCCCAGAGATGGGCAGTTAGAACAACTCCACACTAGCATTAAATAAAGTGTTCATTTTGAAATTGCCTGCAGGTTACACGGATTCATATACACATCGTGAAAAGCAGAGGTCAGGACAGCCGAAACGTTGTCATAAGAAATGAAGACAACAACCCGCATGTAAATAGTGTAAATAATGATAACTCTTCATGCTAGAAATTCAAACGGGCATTTTACAGATTAGTTCTTGATTTTTTAATTTTTTTTCTGCTTTTTTTTTTGCCAGTAACATTCATCATTTGACCGAACACTCCACCGGCCGTGAAATGCTCGTGCCACACAATAACCTGTGCTCGGCATATTGAATATTCGCCAGATCGTTGAGGAAGCATTTCAAGGATCACTGTTGCAGCATTGACGCAGCCACATTGCTCAAAATTGGACAGAAATAGTCAATATTTGATATGTTCCAGGTCCATCTTATAAATTGCCCTCTACTTGACAGACTGACTCAGTAGACGAGGGACCAATAAACGTTAGTTACGCGTGCATTTCCTTTGAGCGTTAAAACCAGAATGAAGTGATGAAAAATTCCGATACCACTTCGTACGCTCGGGGCCAAAAGTTTAGAGTGATCCTTTAGATTTCGGAGAATTTCCTTAAAAATCGAAGGTTGCATCCATTTTTCAATAATAAACTTGTAGTTCAATTCGGGTCAGAGGGATTTCCTCTTCCTGAAAGCTTTTATCATATATTCAACAATAATAATTATCCTACAATAATTGTTCTTGTATATACTATCCTTAGTTCACACGACCGTTACGCCCTGACAGTACTTCATAAATAAGGTTTTGATCGCCTGGAAATAGGGGGGGAGGCACGACTTGGTTCACAGTCAGAAAGAAAGAAAAAAAAAGAAAGAAGCTAATATAGGAGTGTTTAACGTTTCCTGCCACAACCAAACAAATAATGAAATATTGCTTAAGAAGTTTAGCAAAATATTGCAATAACAGTCATAAATATGAACGCAGGTCATCATTTTAAGAAGTAAGGGGGTTCAAATAAAAAATAAATTGACACCTTTTTCCATTTCACTGAAACACTCATTAAATATTTCTTTCTTTCTTTCTTTCTTTCTTTCTTTCTTCCTTTCTTTCTTTATTTTTTTATTTATTTATTTATTCTTTCATTCTCTCTTTTATAACCAGGTCGTGTCATTTCCTTTCTTTCTACGCAATCAAAAATCGGAATAGTCTATTTTAAATAATGGACTATATAGCGGTATTGGCAGGAAACGTAACACATTTCTATCCCCTCTCCTGGCTTTCTTTCTTTCTTTCTTTCTTTCTTTCTTTCTTTCTTTCTTTCTTTCTTTCTTTCTTTCTTTCTTTCTTTCCTTCTTTCTTTCTTTCTTTATCTCTTTTGAAACCATGTCGTGTCATTTCCTTTCTTTCTACGCAATCAAAACGGAATAGTCTATTTTAAATAATGGACTATATAGCGGTATTGGCAGGAAACGTAACACATTTCTTTCCCCTCTCCTGGCTTTCTTTCTTTCTTTCTTTCTTTCTTTCTTTCTTTCTTTCAACTATTTATGTGGTATTGACAGGAAACGTTAAACGTTTCTATACACCTTCCTTACTTATTTCTTTTTTCTTTGTTTCTTTCTGTTTATGTCTTGTTTTTCTACGCAATAAAAATGGAATTGTCGATTATTTTGGAAGTATTAACAATGTTAACACATTACTGGATAAAGTTTCATTAAAAGGTAGATCAATTAAAAAGATCTAAAATTTAAATCTTTTTCTCTAATTTACTTTGCTGTCATACAGTAATCTTAGGTCTGTAACGGATTTTAAATTTAAGGTATCTCGTCCGCTAAAAAATTACCCTCTATGAACTAAGCAGATAAATATTTTAGCTTAGTAGGAGCCAATTAAACCAAAGACGGCATACAATTTGCTAGTTGCTAAATGCCGAGGTTTGTCACAAACTTTTGGTCAATAGAATCGGGGGTTGTACTCGGTGATATTACTGAAGCACCAAATAATTCCAGGTCGCTCGTTTCGGTGGGTGTCTTTTTTTTAAAATCAATTTGGCACTTTTTCACCATCACACTTGAAATCAATAGTTTTTCAGATTCGATTTCAGTCCACTGCTTCTTCGCAAACGATATTCAAAAACATTTTCTTTACTCACCTATTTCCCGCTGAGATTTCTTTCTGATATATCCAGATATCTTTGCCAAATGTGCATTGATTATTTGACATATATTATACACTAGTAAATGTACCCAACATCGTCCCGGTTGAATTTAAAACAGTTATTCCCAAACGGCGTGGCACGCCTCATAGGTGAGACGGAAGAAGATAACAGGTGAAGCGGAAGAGGATATGAGGTGCGTTGGAAGAGGATAGCATGTAAGGCCGAAGAGGATAGCAGGTGAGACGTAAGAGTTATCAGGTGAGGCGGAAGATGATAGCAGGTGAGACGGAAGAGGATAGCAAGTGAGACGTAAGAGGATAGCAGGTGAGGCGGAAGAGGATAGCAGGTGAGAGGTTAGAGGATAGCAGGTGAGGCGGAAGAGGATAGCAGGTGAGACGTAAGAGGATAGCAGGTGAGATGAGGGCGGAGAGGATAGCAGATGAGGCGTGGAAGAGGAATGATCAGGTGAGGCCGAAGAGGATAGCAGGTGAGAGGTTAGAAGATAGCAGGTGAGACGTAAGAGGATAGCAGATGAGGCGGAAGAGGATAGCAGGTGAGACGTAAGACTATCAGGTGAGAGACGGAAGAGGATATAGGAGACGAAGAGGATAGCAGGAGACGGAAGAGGATAGCAAGCGAGACGTAAGAGGTAACAGATGAGGCGTAAGAGGAGGAGGAGGTGAGACGTAAGAGGTTATCAGGGTGAGGCGGAAGATAGCAGATGAGGGTGAAGAGGACGGAAGAGGATAGCAGGTGAGGCGGAAGGGATGAGACGTAAGAGGTGCAGATGAGGCGGAAGAGGGATAGCAAATGAGACGTGTAAGAGGATGGCAGGATGAGGCGGAAGAGGATAGCAGGTGAGATGCAGAGATAGAAGATGAGGCGGAGAAGAGGGGAGACAGGTAAGTAAAGAGGATATCTGATGAGGCGGAAGAGGGTAGCAAGTGAGACGGAAGAGGATAACACAGGATAGAAGAAATGGGAGAGGTTAAGAGGATAGCAGGTGAGGCGGAAGAGGATAGCAGGTGAGACGTAAGAGGATAGCAGATGAGGCGGAAGAGGATAGCAGGTGAGACGTAAGAGGATAGCAGATGAGGCGGAAGAGGATAGCAGGTGAGACGTAAGAGGATAGCAGGTGAGGCGGAAGAGGATAGCAAGTGAGACGTAAGAGGATAGCAGGTGAGGCGGAAGAGGATAGCAGGTGAGAGGTTAGAAGATAGCAGGTGAGACGTAAGAGGATAGCAGATGAGGCGGAAGAGGATAGCAAGTGAGACGTAAGAGGATAGCAGGTGAGGCGGAAGAGGATAGCAGGTGAGACGTAAGAGGATAGCAGATGAGGCGGAAGAGGATAGCAGGTGAGAGGTTAGAAGATAGCAGGTGAGGCGGAAGAGGATAGCAGGTGAGACGTAAGAGGATAGCAGATGAGGCGGAAGAGGATAGCAGGTGAGAGGTAAGAGGATATCTGGTGAGACGTAAAGAGGATAGCAGATGAGGCGGAAAAGAGGAAAGCAAGTGAGACGGAAGAGGAAAGCAGGTGAGGGGAAGAGGATAGCAGGTGAGACGTAAGAGGATAGCGAGGGGGGGGGCGGGGGGAAGGGGGGGAAAAAGGGGGGGGGGGGGGGGGAAAAAAGGGGGGGGGAAAATTAAAAAAAGGGGGGGGGGGGTGGGGGGGGGTTGAGGGGGGGGGGGGGGGGGAAGGGGGGAAAAAAGGGGGGGGGGGGGGGGGAGTGGGGGGGGTTGGGGGGGGGGGGGGGGGGGGGGGGAAGGGAGGGGGGGGCGGGGGGGGGGGGAAAAAAAAAAAGGGGGGAAAAGGGGGGGGGGGGGTTAAAGGGGGAAAAAAAAAAAGGAGGGGGGAAGGGGGGGGGGGGGGAAAAAAAAGGGGAGGGGGGGGAGAAAGGGGAAGGGGGCGGGAAAAGGGGAAAAAAAAGGGGGGGGGAAGGGAGGGGGGAAAAAGGGGGGGGGGGGGGGGGGGGGGGGGAAAAAAAAGGGGGGGAAGGGGAATTAAAAGGGGGGGAAAAAAAGGGGGGGGGGGGGGGGATGGGAGGTTGGGGGCAAGGGGGGGGGGGGAAAAGGGGGTTTTGGGAAGGGGGGGGGAAGGGGGAAAGGGGGGAAAAGGGGGGGTTAAAAATTTGAAAATAAGGGGGGGAAAAAAAGGGGGGGAAAAGGGGGGAAAAGGGGGAAAAGGGGGAAGGGGGCAAAGGGGGAAAAAAAAAAGGGGAAAAAGGTAAAAGGGAGGGGAAGGGGGGGGGGGAAAGGGGGGGGGGGAAAAAGGGGGGGGAAGGGAAAAAGGGGGGGGGAAAAAAGAGGGGGGGGAAAAGAAGGGTGGGGGGGGGGGAAAGGGGGAAAGGGGGGAAGGGGAAAGGGGGGGGGGGAAAAAAAAAAATTGGGGGGGGAAAGGGGAAGGGAAAAAAAAATGGAAGGGAAAAAAGGAAGGGGAAAAAGGGGGAAAAAGGGGGGGAAAAAAAAAAAAAGGGGGGGGTGGGGGGGGGGGGGGTGGGGGGAAAAATGGGAGGGGGGAAAGGGGGGGGAGGGGGGAAAAGGGGGGGGGAAGGAAAAAGGGGGGAAAAGGGGGGGGGGGGGAAAAAAAAGGGGGGGGGGGGGGGGGGGGGGAAAAGGGGGGGGGGGGGGAAAAGGGGGGGCGGGGAAAAAAAAGGGGGGGGGTTTTAAAAAAAAAGGGGGGGGGGGAAAGGGGGGGGGGAATTGGGGAAAAGGGGGGGGGGGGGGGGCAGGGGGGGGGGGGTTTAAAAAGGGGGGGGGGGGGGGGGGGTTGAAAGGGGGGTTTGGGGGGGGGGCGGGGGGGGGGGGGGGGGGGAAAAAAAAGGGGGGGGGGGGGAAAAAAAAAGGGGGGGGGGGGGAGGGGGGGGGTTTAAAAAAAGGGGGGGGGGGGGAGGATTAAAGGGGGGGGAGAGGGGAAAAAGGGGGGGGGGGGAAGGGGGGGCGGAAGGGAAAAGGGGGAAATTAAAAAGTGGGGGGGGGCCCAAAAAAGGGGGGGGGGGGAAAAAAAAGGGGGGGGGGGGGAAAAAAAGGGGGAGGTTTAAAAAAAGGGGGGGGGGGGAAAAAAAGGGGGGGAAGGAAAAAGGGGGGGGGAGGGAAGGGGAGGGGGAAAAAACCCAAAAAGGGGGGAAAAGGGGAAAAAGGGGGGAAAATTGGGGGGGGGAAAGGGGTGGCAGGTGAGAATTAGAAGGGGGATGGGGGGAAAAAGGGGGGGGGGGGGGGGGGGGGGGGGGAAAAAGGGGGGGGGGGGGGGGGGGGGGGAAAGGGGGGGGGAAAAAGGTTAAAATGGGGGTGGGGGGGGGGGGGGGGAAGGGGGGGTAAAAAGGGGGGGGGGGGGGGGGGGGGGGGGGAAAGGGGGGGGGAAAAAGGGGGGGGGGGGGGAAAGGGGGAAAAAGAGGGAAGGGGGGGGGGAATTTGGGGGGAAGGGGAAGGGGGGGTTGGGGGGGGGGGAGGGGGAAGGGAAGGGGAAAAAAGGGGGGGGGAAAAGGGGGAAGGGGGGGGGGGGGGGAAAAAATTGGGGGGGGGGATGGGGGGGGGGGAAAGGGGGGGAAAAGGGGGTTGGGGAGGGGAAAAAGGGGGGGGGGGGGGGGGGGGGGGGGTTTGAAGGGGGGGGCCCCCAAAAGGGGGGGGTGAGAGGGGGGGGGGGGGGAAGGGGGGAAAAAGGGGGGGGGGGTTTGGGGGGGCCCGGGGGGGGGGGGGGGGGGGGGAAGGGGAGAGGGAAAAGGGGGGGAAGGGGGGGAAAAAAGGGGGGGGTTGGGGGGGGGGTTGGGGGGGGGAAGGAAGGGAAGGGGGGGGGGGAAGAGGGTTTAAGGGGAAGGGAAAGGGGGGTTTTGGGGGGAAGGAAAAGGGGGGGAAAAAGGGGGGGGAAAAGGGGGGGGGGGAGGGGGAAAAAAGGGGGGGAAAAAGGGGGGGAAAAAAAAGGGGGGAGGGTAAAGGGGGGGAAGGGGGAAGGAAAAAGGAAGGGGAGAAAAAGGGGGGGGGAGGAAAAGGGGGAAGGGGAAAAGGGGGGGGGGGGGAGGGGGGGGTTAAAAGGGGGGGGGGAAAATTTGGGGGGTTTGGGGAAAGGGGGGGGGGAAAGGGGGGGGGGGAAAGGGGGGAATTTGGGGGGCAAGGGGGAAAAGGGGGGGGGGAAAAAAGGGGGGGGGGAATAAAGGGGGGGGGGGGGAAGGGGGGGGGGTTGGGGGGGGGAAATTTGGGGGGGGGGAAAAAAGGGGGGGGGAAAAAAAGGGGGGGGAAAAAGGGGTTTGGGGGGGAAAAGGGGGGGGGGGGGGTTGGGGGGAAAAAAAAAAGGGGGGGGGGGGGATTGGGGGGGGGAAAGGGGGGGGGATGGAGGTGGGGTTTTGGGGGGGGGGGAAAAGGGAGGGGGGAAAAGGGGGGGGGAAAATTTTGGGGAAAAGGGGGGGGGGGAAAATTAAAAAAGGGGGGGGGGAAAAAAGGGGGGGGTTTAAAAAAAAGGGGGGGGGGAAAAGGGGTTTGGAAATTTGGGGGGGGGGGGGGGGAAAGGGGGGGGGGGGAAGGGGGGGAAGGGGGGGGGGGGGGGCGGGGGGAAATTGGGGGGGGAGGGATGGGGGGGGGGGAAAAAAGGGGGGGGGGGGGGGGGGGGGAGGAAATGGGGGGGGAAGGAAAGGGGGAAAAGGGGGGGGAAAAAAAAAGGGGGGGGGGGGGGGGGGGGGGGAAAAGGGAAAAGAGGAAAAGGGGTGGGGGGGGAAAAGGGGGGGGTTTGGGGGAAAGGGGGGGGGGAAAATTTTTTTTAAAAAGGGGGGGGGGGAAAAAAAGGGGGGGAAAAAAGGGGGGAAAAAAAAGGGTTGGGGGGGGGGGAAAAAAAAAGGGGGGGAAAAAAATGAAAGGGGGGGGGGGGGTGGAAATTTTTAAAAAGGGGGGGGGGGGGGGGGGGGGGGAGAAAAAAAGGGGAAGGGGCTTGGGAAATTAAAAGCGGGGAAAAGGGGGGGGGATTAAAGGGGGGGAAAAAAAAAATAAATGGGGGAAAAAGGGGGGGGGGGTTTTTAAAACGGGGGGAAAAAGGGGGGGGGGTTGGGGGAAAAAGGGGGGGGGGGGGGGTTTGGGGGGGGGGAAAGGGGGGAAAAGGGGAGGGGAAAAAAAAAAAGGAAAAAAGGGGGGGGGGGGGAAAAAAAAAAAGGGGGGGGGTGGGGGGGGGTTAAAAAGGGGGGGGGGAAAAGGGGGGGGAAAAGGGGAAAAAAAAAAGGGTGGGGGGGGGGGGAAAAAAAGGGGGGGGGGGAGGGAAAAAGGGGGGGGGGGAAAAAAGGGGGGGAAAAAAAGGGGGGGGGGGGGGGGGGGGGAAAATTTTGGGGGGAAAGGGGGAAAAAGGGGGCAAAGGGGGCAAGGGGGAAAGGGGGGGGGGGGGGTTTAAAAGGGGGGAAAAAAGGGGGGGGGGGGGAGGGTTGAAGGGGGGGGGGGGGGGCCGGGGGGGTTGGGGAAAGGGTGGGAACCAAAGGGGGGGTGGGGGGGAAGGGGGGGGGAGGGGAAAGGGGGGGGGGAGGAAAAGGGAAAAGGGGGGGGAAAAAAGGGGGGGGGAAAAGGGAAAAAAAGGGGGGGGGGGAAGGGGGGAAAAGGGGGGGGGGGGGGGGCCGGGGGGGGGAAGGGGGGGAGGGGGGGGAAAAAAAAGGGGGGGGAAAGGGGGGGTTTTGGGGGAAAGGGGTTAAAAAGGGGGGGGGGGAGGGAAAAAAGGGGGGGGGGGAAAAAAAAGGGGGGGGGGGAAAAAAGGGGGGGGGGGGATGGCAAAAGGGGGGGGAAAAGGGGGTTGGGGGAAAATTTAAAGGGGGGGGGGGGAGGGGGGGGGGCGGGGGGGAAAGGGGGGGGGGGAAAAAAGGGGGGGGGAAAAGGGGGGAGGGGGGGGGGTTAAAAAAAGGGGGGGGGGGGGGGGGGGAGGGGGAAGGGAAAAAAGGGGGTGGGGGGGGGGAAAAAAGGAAAATGAAAGGGGGGAAAAAAAGGGGGTTGGGGGAAAAGGAAAAAAAGGGGGGAAAGGGGGGTTTGGGGGGGGGGTTTTTGGGGGGGAAAAAAGGGGGGGAAGGGGTGGAAAAGGGGGTTTTGGGGGGAAAAGGGGGGGGAGGGGGAGGGGGGTTAAAAAAGGGGGGGGGGGAAGGGGGGGGGGGGGGGGAAAAAAAAAATTTAAAGGGGGGGATTTGGGGGGGGTTGGGGGGGGGCCCGGAAAGGGGTGGGAGGTGGGGGGGGGGGGGGGAAAAAAAAAGGGGGGGGGGGGGGGGGGGAAAAAAAGGGGGGGGGGGGGGGAAAAAAAGGGGGGGGGGGGGGGGGGGGGGGGAGGGAAAAAAGGGGGGGAAAAAAAAGGGGGGGGGGGGAAAAAAGGAGGGGAAAGGGGAAAAGGGGGGGTGGGGGGGAAAAGGGGGGGGGGGGAAATTTTGGGGGGGGGGTTTTAGGGGTTGGGGGGGGGGGGGTTTTGAAGGGGGGGGGGGGAAAAAGGGGGGGGGAAAGGGGGGAAAAAGGGGGGGGGGTGGGGGGAAAAAAAAGGGGGGGAAAAAGGGGGGGGGGTTTTAAAAAGGGGGGGGGGGGTGGGGGAAAAAAGGGGGGGGGGGGGAGGGGGGGGGGAAAAAAGGGGGGGGGGGAGGTTAAAAAAGGGGGGGGGGGGGAAAGGGGGGGGAAAAAAAGGGGGGGGAGGAGGAAAGGGGTTTTTGGGGGGGGGGGGGAAGGGGTTGGGGGGGAAAAATTTTGGGGGGGGGAAAAAAAAAGGGGGGGAAGGGGGGGAAAAAGGGGAAAAAAAAAAAAGGGGGGGGGGGGGGGGGGGAAGGAAAAGGGGGGGAAAAAAAAGGGGGGGGGGAAAAATTTGGGGGGGGGGAAAAAGGGGGAAAAGGGGGGGGAAAGGGGGAAAAGGGGGGAAAAAAAGGGGGGGGGGGGAATTGGGGAAGGGGGGGGGGGGAAAAAAGGATGGGGAAAAAAGGGGGGGGGGGGGGGGGGGGGGGGGAGGGGGTAAAAGGGGGGGGGGGGAAGAGGGTTTTGGGAGGAAAAAAGGGGGGGGAAAGAAAGGGGGGGGAAAAAAAAAGGGGGGGAAAAAAGGGGGGGGGGGAAAGGGGGGGGGGGAAAGGGGGGTTTTAAAAAAAGGGGGGGGGGGGGGGAAAGGGGGGGCAGGGAAGGGGGGGGGGGGGGGGGGGGGGCGGGGGGGAAAAAGGGGGGGGGGGGGGCGGGGGGGGGGGTGGGGGAAAAAAAGGTGGGGGAAAAAAAGGGAAGGGGGGGGGAAAAAAAAGGGGGGGGGGGGGGGGGAAAAGGGGAGAAAGGGGGGGGGGAAGGGGGAAAAAAGGGGGGGTTTGGAAAGGGGGGGGGGGGGGGGGGGGGAAAGGGGGGGGGGGGGAAGGGGAAAAAAGGGGGGGGGAAAGGGGGGGGGAAAAGGGGGGGGGGGAAGGGGGGCGGGGGGGGGGGGGGGGGGGAAAAAAGGGGGGGGGGGGGAAAAGGGGGGGGGGGGGGGGAAAAAGGGGGAAAAAAGGGTTTTGGGGGGGGGGGGGGGGGGGAAGGGGGTTTTTGGGGGGGAAGGGGGGGGGGGAAAAAGGGGGGGGGGGGGGGGGGGGGGAAAAAAGGGGGGGGGGGGAAAAAAGGGGGGGGGGGGTTTGAAAAGGGGGGGAAAAGGGGGGTGGGGGCCGGGGGAAGGGGTTTTTAAAAAAAAAGAGGGGGGGGGGGGGAATTGGGAAAAAAGGGGGGGGGAAAAAGGGGGGGGGGGGGGAAAAAAGGGGGGGGGGGGGAAAAAAAAAGGGGGGGGGGGGGGGGGGGGGGAGGGGGAGAAAGGGGGAAGGGGGGGAAGGGTGGGGGGGGGGGGGGGAAGGGGGGGGGGTTTAGGGGGGGGTTTTGGGGGGGGAAAAGGGGGGGGAAAAAGGAATTAAAAGGGGGGAAAAAAAAAGGGGGGGGGCAGGGGGGGGGGGGGGGGGGAGGGGGGGGGGAAAAAAAATGGGGAAAAAAAAGGGGGGGGGGGGGAAGGGTAACGGGGGGGGGAAAAAAAAGGGGGGGTTGGGGATTTGGGGGGGAAGGGGGGGGGGGGGGAAAGGAAAAAGGGGGGGGGGGATGTGGGTGAGGGGGAAAAAGGGGGGTTTGGGGGGGGGGAAGGAAAAGGGGGGGGGGGGGGGGGGGAAGGGGGGTGGGAAAAAAAAGGTTTTGGGGTGGAAAAGGTGGAAAAATGGGGGGAGGTTTAAAATGGGGGGGGGGGGGGGGGGAGGGAAAAGGGGGAAAAGGGGGAAAAAAAATTAGGGAAAAGGGGGAAGGGGAAAAAGGGGGGGGAAAAAAAAAGGGGGAAAAAAGGGGGGGGGGGAAGTAAAAGGGGGGGGGGGGGGGGGGGAAAGGGGGGGGGGAAAAAAAAGGGGGGGGGGGGGGGATTTGGGGGGGGGAAAAGGGGGGGGGGAAAAAGGGGGGGGGGGGGGAGGTGGGGGGGGAAAAGGGGGGGTGGGAGGGGAAAAAAGGGGGAAGGGGGGGGGGGGGTTGGGGGTTGGAAAATGGGGAAAGGGGGGGGGGGGGGGGAAGAGGAAAATTTTGGGAAAGGAAAGGGGGGGGGGGGGAAAGGGGGTGGGGGGAAGGGGGGGGGTTGGGGGGAAAAAAACGGGGGGAAGGGGAATTTGGGGGGGGGAGGGGGGGGGGGGGGGGGGAAAGGGGGGAACGGGGGGAAAAAAGGGGGGGAAAGGGGGGAAAAGGGGGGGGAAAAAGGGGGGGGGGGAGAAAAGGGGTGGGGGGGGGGGGGGGGGGAAAAAGGGGGGGGGGGGGGGGGAAGGAAGGGGAAGGGGGAAAAAAGGGGGGGGGGGGAAAAGGGGGGGAAAAAAGGGGAAAAAGGAAAAGGGGGGGAAGGGGAGGGGGGAAAAAATTAAATTTTTAAAAAAAAAAGGGGGGGGAAATTGGGGGGGGAGGGGGGGGAAAAAAAGGGGGGGGGGGGGGTTGGGGGGGGGGGGGGGAGGGGAAAAAAGGGGGGGGGGGGGGGCCCGGGAAAGGGGGGGGGGGGGGGAAAAAGGGGGGAAAGGGGGGGGGGAAGGGAAAAATTGGGGGAGGGAAGGGAAGGGGGAGGGGTTTTGGGGGGGGGGGGGGGGGGGAAGAGGGGTTGGGGGGGAAAGGGGTGGGGGGGGAGGGGGGCCCGGTGAGGGGGGAAGGAAAGGGGGGGGGAAAAAAAAATGGGGGGAAAAAGGGGGTTTGGGGGGGGAAAAAAAGGGGGGGAAAGGGGGGGAAAAAAAGGGGGAAAAAAGGGGGGGGGGAAGGGGAAAAAAGGGGGGGGGGGGGGGGGGAAAAGGGGGGGGGGGGGGGGGAAGGGGGGGGGGAAAAAAGGGGGGGGGGGGGAAAAAGGGGGGGGGTGGGGGGGGAAGGGAGGGGGGGGGGGGGGGGGGAAAAAAAAAAAAGGGGGGGGGAGAGGGGGGAGGGGAAGGGAAAGGGGGGGAAAAAAAAAGGGGGGGTTTCAGGTGGGGGGAAGGGGGGGGGGGGGAAAATTTGGGGAAAAAAAGGGGGGGGGGGAAAAAAAATTTTGGGGGGGGGGAAAAAAAAAAAAGGGGGGGGGGGGGGGGGGGGGGGGAAAAAAAAAGGGGGGGGGGGGGTTAGAAGGGTTGGGGGGGAAAAGGGGGGGGAAAAAAGGGAGGGGGAAAAAAAAAGGGGAAGGGGGGGGGGGGGTTAAAAGGGGGGGGGGGGAAGGGGATTTGGGGGGGGAAAAAGGGGGGGAAAAAAGGGGGGGGGGGTTAAAAAGGGGGGGGGGGGGGGAAAAAAAAAAGGGGGGGGTTTGGGGGGGGGGGGAAGGGGGGGGGGGAAAGGGGGAAAGGGAAAGGGGGGGGAAAAAAGGGGGGGGGAAAAAAAAGGGGGGGGAAAAATTGGGGGGGGGGAAAAAAAAGGGGGGGGTTTTTTTGGGGGGGGGGGAGGGGGGGGGGGGGGGTGGAGGGGGAAAAGGGGGGGGGAAAAGGGGGAGGGGGGGGGACAAGGGGGGGGGAAAGGGGGGGGGGGAAAAAAAAAAAAAGGGGGGGGGGGGAAAAAGGGGGGGGGAAAAAAGGGAAAAAAAAAGGGGGGGAAAGGGGGGGGGGGGGGGAAAAAAAAAAAGGGGGGGGACTTTTTGGGGGGGGGGGAGGAAAAGGGGGGTTGGAAGGGAGGGGAGAGGGGGGGTGGGGGGGGGGGGAAAAAAGGGGGGAAAGGGGGGGGGAAAGGGGGGGAAAAGGGGGGAGGGGGGGTTAAGGGGGGGGGGGGGGGGGGAAAAGGGGGGGAAAAAGGGGGGGGGGGGTTAGAAAAAGGGGGGGGGGGAAAAAATTTGGGGGTTTTTGGGGGAAAGGGGGAAAGGGGGGGGGAAAGGGGGGGTTAAAAAAAAAGGGGGGGGGGGAAAAAGGGGGGGGGGGGGAAAAAAAAAGGGGGGGAAAAGGGGGGGGGGGGAAAAAGGGGAAAAGGGGGGGAAAAAAAGGGGGGTGGGTTTGGGGGGGGGGTGGGGGGAAAAAGGGGGAAAAAGGGAGGGGGGGGGTTTTGGGGGGGTTTTTGGGGGGGGGGGGGGGGAAGGGGGGAAAAGGGGGGGAAAAGGGGGAAAAGGGGGGGGGGAGGAAAGGGGCAGGAAAGGGGAAGGGGGGGGGGGGGGGAAAAGGGGGGATTGGGGGGGGAGAAATTGGGGGGGAAAAAAGGGGGGGGTAGCAGGTGAGACGGAAGAGGATATCTGGTGAGACGTAAGAGGGTAGCAGGTGAGGCGGAAGATGATAGCTTGTGTGGCGGAAGAGGATAGCAGGTGAGACGTAAGAGGATAGCAGGTCAGGCGGAGGAGGATAGCAGGTGAGACGTAAGAACATGGCAAGGTGAGACGTAAGTGGATAGCAGATTGTGGCGGAAAGGACAGCAGGTGAGGCGGAAGAGGATAGCAGATGAGGCTAAAGAGGATTAGCAGGTGAGACGGAAGAGGGATATCAGGTGAGTCATAAGAGGGCCAGGTGAGGCGGAAGATAATAGCTGTTTGGCGGGAAGAGGATAGCAGGTGATGCGGAAGAGGATAGCAGGTGGGGCGGAAGAGGATAGGCAAGTGGAGATGTAAGAGGAGCAGGTGAGGCGGAAGAGGATAGCAGGTGAGAGGTTAGAGGATAGCAGGTGAGGCGGAAGAGGATAGCAGGTGAGACGTAAGAGGATAGCAGGTGAGGCGGAAGAGGATAGCAAGTGAGACGTAAGAGGATGTGATGGAGGCGGAAGAGGATGGCAAGAGGAGACGTAAGAGGATAGCAGATGGGGGCGGAAGAGTATAGCAAGTGAGACGTAAGAGAAAGCAGCTGGGGCGGAAGAAGATGGCATGTGAGACGTAAGAGGGATAGCAGCAGAGGGCCCGGAAGAAGATGGCAGATGAGGCGGAAGAGGATAGCAAGTGAGACGTAAGAGGAAAGCAGCTGAGGCGGAAGAAGATAGCATGTGAGACGTAAGAGGATAGCAGATGAGGCGGAAGAAGATAGCAGATGAGGCGGAAGAGGATAGCAGGTGAGAGGTTAGAGGGGACAGCAGGTGGGACGGAAGTAGATAACAGGTGAAGCGGAAGAGGGATGTATGAGGTGCGTTGGAAGAGGATGGCATGTAAGGCCGAAGAGGATAGCAAGTGAGACGTAAGAGTTATCAGGTGAGGCGGAAGATGATAGCAGGTGAGACGGAAGAGGATAGCAAGTGAGACGTAAGAGGATAGCAGGTGAGGCGGAAGAGGATAGCAGGTGAGAGGTTAGAAGATAGCAGGTGAGACGTAAGAGGATAGCAGGTGAGGCGGAAGAGGATAGCAGGTGAGACGTAAGAGGATAGCAGATGAGGCGGAAGAGGATAGCAGGTGAGAGGTTAGAGGATAGCAGGTGAGGCGGAAGAAGATAGCATGTGAGACGTAAGAGGATAGCAGATGAGGCGGAAGAAGATAGCAGATGAGGCGGAAGAGGATAGCAGGTGAGAGGTTAGAGGATAGCAGGTGAGACGGAAGAAGATAACAGGTGAAGAGGGAAGAGGATGTGAGGGTGAGTTGGAAGAGGATAGCATGTAAGGCCGAAGAGGATGAGGGTGGGAGAGGTAAGAGTTATCAGATGAGGCGGAAGATGATAGCAGGTGAGACGGAAGAGGAGCAGTAAGTGAGACGTAAAGAGGATAGTGCAGATGAGGCGGAAGAGGGATAGCAGGTGAGAGGGAAGAGGATAGCAGGTGAGGCGGAAGGATGAGAGGTAAGAGGAAAGCAGGTGAGGCGGAAGGAAGGTGAGAGGTTAGAAGATAGCAGGTGAGACGTAAGAGGATAGCAGATGAGGCGGAAGGGATAGCAGGTGGAGGTTAGAGGATAGCAGGTGAGGCGGAAGAGGATAGGCCGGTGAGAAGCAGGTTATCAGGTGAGGCGGAAGAGCAGGTGAGACGGAAGAGGATTGAAGTGAGACGAGGGATAGGCCGAAGAGATGAGGTGAGAAAGAGGACAGCAGATGAGGCGAAAGAGACGTAAGAAGAGGATGAGAGTAAGAGGATAAGAGGCTGAAGATGAAAGCAGGTGAGACAGAAGAGGATAGCAGGTGAGACGGAAGAGGATAGCAGGTGGAGGGGGAAGAGGATAGCAGGGCAAGAGGTAGAGATGAGGTGAAGAGGATAGCAGGTGAGACGGAAAGGATATCTGGTGAGACGTAAGAGGGTAGCAGGTGAGGCGGAAGAGGATAGCTTGTGTGGCGGAAGAGGAGAGAGGTTAGAGGATAGCAGGAGGCGGAGGAGGATAGCAGGTGAGACGTAAGAGGATAGCAGGTGAGACGGAAGAGGATAGCAGGTGGCGGAAGAGGATAGCAGGTGAGGCGGAAGAGGATAGCAGATGAGACTAAAGAGGATAGCAGGTGAGACGGAAGAGGATATCAGGTGAGTCGTAAAGAGGATAGCAGGTGAGGCGGAAGATAATAGCTGTTGTGGCGGAAGAGGATAGCAGGTGATGCGGAAGAGGATAGCAGGTGAGGCGGAAGAGGATAGCAAGTGAGATGTAAGAGGAGAGCAGGTGAGGCGGAAGAGGATAGCAGGTGAGAGGTTAGAGGATAGCAGGTGAGGCGGAAGAGGATAGCAGGTGAGACGTAAGAGGATAGCAGGTGAGGCGGAAGAGGATAGCAGGTGAGAGGTTAGAGGATAGCAGGTGAGACGTAAGAGGATAGCAGATGAGGCGGAAGAGGATAGCAGGTGAGAGGTTAGAGGATAGCAGGTGAGGCGGAAGAGGATAGCAGGTGAGACGTAAGAGTTATCAGGTGAGGCGGAAGATGATAGCAGGTGAGACGGAAGAGGATAGCAGGTGAGACGTAAGAGGATAGCAGGTCAGGCGGAGGAGGATAGCAGGTGAGACGTAAGAACATAGCAGGTGAGACGTAAGAGGATAGCAGGTGTGGCGGAAGAGGATAGCAGGTGAGGCGGAAGAGGATAGCAGATGAGGCTAAAGAGGATAGCAGGTGAGACGGAAGAGGATATCAGGTGAGTCGTAAGAGGATAGCAGGTGAGGCGGAAGATAATAGCTGGTGTGGCGGAAGAGGATAGCAGGTGAGGCGGAAGAGGATAGCAGGTGTGGCGGAAGAGGATAGCAGGTGAGACGTAAGAGGATAGCAGGTGTGGCGGAAGAGGATAGCAGGTGAGGCGGAAGAGGATAGCAGGTGAGGCAGAATGATTGAAAAACAATCAAAGATTTAGAAACAGTTCCAAAAATTTCATATGCCAAAAATAAATATGATTTCAAAATTTAAAATATTATTATGGATTACTTGTAATTGCATGTATGAGTCCCAGTATAAATAGTTATGAATAAATATTGACTGATTTTATCATTGTGATATTTTTGCATTATGTCAAGTATTAAGAACATAGTAATTAGGCTTTGCAAATTGGAAGAGAGTGTAATCAATGATAATGTTCTGACTTTGAATTTGCGGTTATCTCCCTTTGATCCTCTCTTTGGACTTCTTTGCTGTAGGGCTGCTTGCACCTTTTCACTGGAACTTACCTTCTCAAAATTACTCATCAAAAACAAGCTCATACCTTTCATTAAATTTGTGTACTTTAATCATATTTTAAGTTATTTGTGTTATATATTATATTTAATGCACTATTAGTAATTTTTATTTTTAAATGTACTTTTTATGACATAAAATTTGGTGAGGTGTGAGCAAATTTTCATTTTGAAAATGTCACCTAGAAAAAAAAAGGTTTGGGAACCACTGGGTTATATCAATTGAAAACATGAAAGAGTGAGGATTGTAAACCACTATAAGCCAAAAACTACTTTGACACATTCATCTATGAACAGACCAGTGCTGTTCAACAGAGCCAGCCACATGACTTGAGGCTGGGAAAAAAGATTGTAACTCTTCACCAAGAACATCACCAACTGATACAGTTATGATGATTCATAAACTTACACTGTAAAGTAGTTTGCTGTAAGATCCAGCAAGGATATATCAGTTTCTTGCCAATACGTCTTCAAATTAACATATTAGATAGTCTAGAAGACCTACTCTTTTTCCCCCAAATATTAGAATTTTATAAATTTGTAATAAATGTGACCACTTGGGAATACCAGGTGCCATAAGCTTAGATGTGTGGGTGGTGTAATGGATAATGGCACATAATAGTTAATTGGAGAGAAGAGTTCCAATTTCTGTTATACACAAATACCCTCATGTGAAAGGTATGAATCCACCTCTTCTTTCCAAGATATGGGTTAATTAGTAAGACTTTTATCACTAAAATATTCTCTCAAAAATTTTTTTACAACCGATAAAAAAAAAATTTCGGCTTTAAATAACTGCAGAGGGTTGATAAACTGGAAAATGAATCAATCAATGTAACAAATGCATGATAAGAAATTTGTTTTTAAACTGAGTCAAATTGGAAATATGGTTGAAGTCTCATTAGCATTTTGAAAATGCAGCCCAGAGGAATAAACATTGGGAACCATTGGTTTAGAATATAGAATAAATTTCAGAATAAAATTTTAAACACTCAAATTAATCACTCACCAACCTTTATTTTGGGTTTTGCGACCTGTCAGGTAAGATGCTCTCCACAAATCGAGATTTGCCTTTCGTAAAGTAGTGAGATTGTCTTTATAGGCCAAACGCATAGAAGATGAAACAAGCATCCAAATTTTAATAATTTTTAAACTTGTTTAATTACAATTTTTCTCCCGCGTTTACGCAGCTATCACGATAAATGAAAAACTTTAAGAAAAATATTAGAAATAGTTTGCAGAATATATATATATATATATATTTATAAAAACAAAAACTATTTACAGACATAGATGCCTATGAAATGAACAGTTGTAGTGGTAAGTGACATTACTAAATAATCCCAGGTCACTGGTGTCAACATATGTTTTTTTTTTAAATCAATTTGGTATCATTTCAATGTCACAGCCGGTATCTATAATTTGCGAGCTTCTGTCTCCAGAGACGGCCACTTCGCAAGCGAGATTTCAAAAAAAAAAAACTTTCGATATCTGGCCTTTTCCCGCTGAGATTTTTCCTCACAGATTTCCAGATTATTCTTTTCCAAAGTTTAGAATGATCTTACATTAGTGGAAGTACCCAGCCCTTACTGAGTTTGCCATCCTGGGCATGACAATAAACTACATCCGCGTCCTGGGCAAGACGATAAACTACGTCCAACAGCAAGGCCTCTACTCAGGAGGTTTTGGGGAGCATGGAACTTAACTCATGGAAATTAATTGCTGGTGTTCTCAGGTCCACCCTACCCGGGGTAGTAGCACCTGTTAGGGTCACATTTATGGGCAAATATTTAACCCCGAAACTGAGGTAAAAAGCATTATCAAAGTGTAAAAATAGGTTTTAATACCAGAAATACTTTGTAAAAAAAATATTACCAGAAATAGTTTTTTTAAGGAAAAAAATATGACTAGCAATATATTTTTGAAAAAAAATATTGACAGCAGTAAATTTTTTTAAATAATACTACTAGCTATAAATTATTGAGGAAAAAAATATTATCAGAAATAGATTTTTGACAAAAAAAAATATTACTAGGAAAAAAAGTTGTCGGCATTAAATGACCCATTGAGGTTGATATGCCGTAAAACAAAACAAACCAAACCAAAAAAATCAGGCTGGGTTTTCATTTTCAAGAATGGTAAATATCTTTGCACACGGATCCCTACAACAAGATAGGAAGGGGTATGGAAAAGCAAAACCAGCTTCCAGACAAAGTTCAAGCTCTACAGATCTTCGATCCTATTAATACTGCTCTACGAGTGTGAGACTTGTAAAATCCTGCTTGAGGCAGGAAAAAGAATCCAGACATTCGAGAACGAGTCTTTCCGCAAATTCATCGGCATGTCCAGTTGGTAGCACACAACCAATGATAGAATTCTCCTCTCACGACTATTAAGCATTGAAAGACGACATGGTTAGGCCACGTCACACAGCGTAACAGCTTATGCAAGACCACCATGCAAAGCAATGTAGAAGGCGGCCACAAGCGGGAACGGCCAAACAGAAGATGGCCATACAACAAGAAAGAATGGACAGAAATGACTATTCCGGAAATCCTGAGAGCCACCACAAATGCTTGAGAATACACCTCCG